GCTGTTCCTTTGGCCTCTCTGAGAAACGCGCTCGTTTTGCTGCTTTCATCAGATTGAAGAGGTTCCCTCTATCAGACTCGCTCATCTGAGTTGGTCATGATGCAGGATCGCTGCTCGCTCTCTCATCCATCCTGCTCACACTCTCCGACGGAAAAGCCCCGAATCTGAATGTGACTCTGGAGGAAAAAGCGGTTAGCTCTACTCCGTGAACTCTGGTGAGCAAAGGTCCTCTTTTCCAGACTGGATCTGTCCTCAGCTGATCAGAACCAAAGCGTTGGATCTTTAATCTCCTGCGTTGTTCTGAAGCAGCATCTTAATCAGCTCTCCTGCTTTGTTTCTATTGCAGCTGTTAGCTAAACACGGCTAAAGAAAACCTGCTACCACTTCAGGATCATCCATCAGCTGGGACTGATTTATCGTGTGTTCTTCACCACCTGGACCTGGACAGCATGGACACAGGTACTGGTGGATGAATGAATGAATACATGGTCAGTCTACGGTGGGACATTACAGTGAAATCATGAGAATGAGGTTCAATCTTTAAAATAATGATCTGTATATGTTTAGCACTACTGGGGTTCTAAACCCCCCAAAGCGTTTTACATCACAACCAGTCATTCACTCATTCACACACTGTTGTAGAACCTTGTAGTTTTAGAGTGATTAGATCTCTCTAATGAATGATTTTTGAAGCCAAGTATAGTTAAAGTCCCAAAGTCATCGTCACACACTGGTGAAGTTACGTCCTGCATTCGACCCGTCCCCATGGGGAGCGGTGAGATGAAGCTGTGGGAACTATTTGGTCTTCTGTCGGGTTTCAGTCACTACGAGAATCAGTCAGAGACAGGAGAGGTTTTCATCGTGTTCACAACCTACCTTTGTTGTAGCGTCAGTCACGCATCATCATTTGACCAATCACAGTTGGGGAGACAGCCTGCTGCAGACACGACGGCAGCGGCGCTGACAGCACGTATGACTGCTGTTGCTTCAGCGCGTCGCTGTGGTTTAGAGCTTAAAGGCCCAGTGTGTAAAAACATTCGACTCTTCAGCGCCACGCAGTTCAGAGTAAGTATTGCAGCTCCGGTAGCCCACACTAGGGTTGGGCTGTTTTTCCATTCGCCCATCATTAGTCCAGTAAATGACGATGGGCCGTGGTGTGTGCATGTGACTGATTACGGTATGATTCACTGACTGATTTGCGAACACAGAAGAAGTCTAAACATGGATGTTTTTATGGATGTGCAGCACAAATTAGATTTTTCTTTTTGTTTAACTCACTCACTGCCAGCCGTTTCCTGACCAGAAAAGCTCTTCGCTGCCAGCGTTTTTCAGCGTTTTTACTGTTTTTTTAAGAGTCACAGAACGTTGCTCTATGATGATGTCATCGCCAAAACTACCAAAACAAAGAGTAGACTCACCTCTTACTGGAAGAATCCGCACATTTTGAACGTTATCTGTTCTTTCATAAGCCGTTGTTGAATTGTGATCGGCAGAAGCTTTTCCGGTTCTCGCCTCACTTTTTTTTTTACAGCAGCGTCCCAAAACGATCTCCTAACACACACGTGTCAGACACCATGTAGCCCGTGGAGCATTTTTATGTGGCCCGCGAGATAAATATCAAAAATATATTAAAACTGACCTGCTGGCCGATTTTACAGCAAAGACTACAACTCCCATGATGCTTTGCGGTGTTAGCGTGGAGCTGAAGCGCCCCCTCCTTTGTGTTTTTTCCAGCGTCTGCTGCCGGTGTCTGCAGCTCCGCGGTCTCAGACAAACTAAACACTCCTCTCACTCAGCGCCGAGTTCACTCAGCAATTTTCTGACGTTGAAGCCCAGAAACAGAGATTGTAACCGCTCAGTAATGTGTTCACGACTGAAAGAGAAAGTTTTCCAGCTAACTTCCAGACAGAGCTGATATAACTCCAGCGAGCAGCGACACGCTCAAACCAGCACGACTCTGTGGCTGCTGTAGTTGTTATTTTTCCTCCCCGACACACAACGACGTGGTCAAGCTGCTCAGACATGTTCAGCAGCACAAACCTGTGTGAGCACCTGTTGTCATTTAATGTTGTCATTATTATGATGAAGATGAGCAAAACAACAGGAGTCTCCTCCTCAGCTCAGATCAACCCCATGATGCAGGTATCTGGCTGGAACAGGTGAACATCCCAGTAAACCAGTGGAGCAAACTGAGCTTTAAATATGTTGGTTTTATGCTCTTTTTCTGCTCCAAAACATGAAAGTTAACAGGTGAGATGTTGCATTTTCATTTAAGATAAAATGATATTTTTATTTTGTTGTTGGCCCGTGAGAAAAGATTTAACCTACAGTAAACAGGAAGTGGAAAGGCTGCAGATAGATGAATAGAATAGAAAATCCCTTTATTGTTCCTCAGTGGGGAAAGCTAGACGTCACAGCAGCGATGACACGTATTACAGGAGAAAAAAGGAGAATAAAAAATAAGAAAAATGAATAAACAACAAGAAAACATAAATCCTGAACAGATTTTAAAAATGCTGAATATACCACAAGTAATGAATACCACTGATGCCTTTTATTTAAAACTGACTTGCTCGTGTGTAATCTGGTTATTCCACATTCAGTGTTAATGCAGAAATAAGTTTGTTTCCAAATTAAAAGGTTCTAAATTGCATAAATGTTGATAAAGAAAATGTGCAAATTTGCCGTCACTTTTTCAAAAAATATTAAGTTTGGCCCTCGACTCCGTCCCAGATTTTCATTTCGGCCCAGTGTGAGTTTGAGTTTGACTCCCCTGATCTAACACGTGGACTTTCTGCTTCCTGATCACGTGACGTGTGACGTACGCGGATGAAGATCGGCTTTAGAGCTGGGATGTTTGTTCTCACGGTGCGGGGGCTCGTTCCGACGCCCACACAGTAAAAACATGCCAGTGACAGTTAAAGAGTTGTTAAAGCGTTGAAAGGAAGTAGGGCTGAAACGAATCATCAAATGGTTCGATTCATTAAGATAAGATAAGATAAGATAAGATAAGAACAACTTTATTTATCCCGAGGGAAATTCTTGTGTCATGTACATGCTCAAAGCAGTCGGAGACAAAGGATCAGGTGAAATAGAAATATGGTATGCATTATATACATTAAAAAATGATCTACAGTAGTACCATGTAGGATAGTGCAAAACAAACAATCGCATATCTCAATAATTAAATACATGACTGCATCCTTGTGAATAAGTAATTAAGCCGTCGGTGCAGGCGATTCACAAAAGTGATTAAAGTATTGTGTAAAAGAATATGGGTTTGTAGCAGCATATTATATGATGGGGGGATAAAAACATATTTACAATCAGAACTCTTGGGTAATATTGCACAGTCGGTGAGGGCACAGAGTAACCTAGGTAACAGTATTAGGAGAATCACCTACAGCGTGAGGAAGAGTTAAACAGTCCTATTGCCACCGGTACGAAGGATTTCCTGTGGCGGTCAGTTCTGCATTTCGGGGCAATGAGTCTTTTGCTGCGTGTGCTTCGGTGGTCCACCATGTGGGCGTGCATGGGGTGGGAGGGGTGTTCCATGATAGAGAGAAGCTTTTTTAGCATTCTCCTCTCAGACACCTCCTCCAGGTTCTCCAGTCTAACACCCAGGACAGACCCAGCCCTTCTAATCAGCTTGTTCAGCCGGTTGGCATCAGCTATCTTCACCCCACTGCCCCAGCACACAGCTGCAAAGAACACAACGCTCTCCAACACCGAGTGATAGAACATTGTCAGCAATTTCCTCCCAACATTGAAGGACCTGAACCGCCTCAGAAGAAAAAGCCGACTCTGCCCTTTTTTGAAGATGGCATTGGTGCTCTTGGTCCAGTCCAGTTTCCAGTCCAAGTGAACCCCCAGGTGCCGGTAGTCCTCAACGATCTCAACGTCAGCCCCTCTTATGGTGACAGGAGTAGGAGGTGGGGCCTGCTTCCTAAAGTCCATAATCAGTTCTTTAGTCTTTGTGATGTTAAGTTGTAGATGGTTTCGCTCACACCACTCCACAAAGCTGTCCACCACACTCCTGTCCTCCACCTCCTGACCATCCCTGATACAGCCCACGATGGCAGAGTCATCAGAGAATTTCTGCAGATGGCAAGACTGAGACTTGTACCTGAAGTCAGATGTGTAAAGGGTGAAGAGGAAGGGTGATAGGACTGTCCCCTGCGGCGCCCCCGTGCTGCTCAGGATGTTATCTGAGCGGCAGCTCATCAGTCGGACATGCTGTGGTCTACTTGTTAAATAGTCCGTAATCCAACCTACAAGTGGGGCGTCCACCTGCATATCCGTGAGCTTGTTCCCCAGCAGTGATGGTCTGATCGTGTTAAAGGCACTAGAGAAGTCGAAAAACATGACCCTCACAGTGCTCCCAGCAATGTCCAGATGAGAGTATGCCCGGTCCAGCAGGTAGATGAGGGCATCCTCCACACCGATACGAGGTTGATAAGCAAACTGCAGGGGATCCAGCCATGGCTCCACCAGCAGCCGCAGATGTTTTAGGATGAGTCTCTCCAGCGTCTTCATGACATGTGAGGTCAGAGCCACTGGCCTGTAGTCACTGGGGGTCGACGGGTTGATCTTTTTAGGGACAGTAACCAGGCAGGATGCCTTCCAGAGTGATGGAACGCTCTGCATCTCCAGGCTCACGTTGAAGTTCCTCGATTCATTTTTTACTGATTCGAAGCTTCGTTAAACGTGCGCTCCACAGTCTGAACACATTTTACTGGAGCTCTACGTGGTGATCTCGGTGCTGTGGTGGAAAAAAGAGAAACCAGCAACGACGGAAACCATCGTTAGAGGCAGAAACGGTCCAACGTTTGGATCAAGAGTTAAACTACAAGCAAACTACTGAATTGGCTGACTGAGTGGAGGTGGTTCATAGATGTCGCAACCTTTATGTCAGAAGGGAACCCCCCCCCCCCCCCCCCCACACACACACACACCTTTTGCTCTTTCCATTGTTCTCAAAGAAATCCGTTCCACTTGATTCATTAGAAATGACTCAGTCGGCTGAAGTCCGTTCCACGTTTTCCTGGTTGCTCTGCTGCACGCATGGTGGGCGTGACTGACATGGTTGTCAACAAAGTTAGAAAATAAAAGACCGAACGAACCAAAGTGAAACTACAGGCTTGTGGAAGCTGGAGGAGGAGTCAGTGCCATTACTATCCCATAATAAGCAGTGTCCTTGTCTGATCCCTCCACAGACACGGGGACATGAGGACATTTCTCACAAAGAAGCATAAAATAAGTAAAACTGTCCAGAATGAATGCTGACAGATGCTTTGAAACCCTCCGTCCCCCAGTTCTGGTTAGAACTGGGTTTGCCCGCGGGTCATCTGGGTGAGGCCACAGAACCTGCAAAGACTCTCAAAAGGTCTGGAAAAGGACCGGTTCGGCTGGCTCCGGTGAAGTGGAGACGGTCATACTGGGAAGTTTCGGTAATGGAAACACACCAATTAGTGCCTGGCTGTCCTATAAAAGACACCCATTCCTCCTTTTTGTGTGAGGATGCCAGCTGGTCCTGTTCCCCTGCAGATAGCTCATCAGTACTTAATACAAGTTGTTTATTGTTTATCTACGTTGGTGTTAGTTTGGGATGTTCTGATCATACCAGCAACACCTGTGTGAACCCTGTGTGATGCACTTGGGCTTCTTCCCCTTTTCCTTCATGCTGTGCAGGACAGCAGCAACAATGTAAAACAACATGTCCGCCTAACTTTAACTCTGTCTGCGAGAGTGATGTAAGCTTTGAGTCCTGCAATGAAAAGCTCCAGCTCCTGGGGAAGCTGATCACAGCTGGTTTAATAAGATGTGAAGAACAACATCTGGGTGGAGTGAGGTGAGTTTCCAGGGATCGCTGCAGAGATAAACACCTCCCAGTCAGACGCAGCTACGCTCACCAACACCCGTCTGTATGAGCGTCAGAAGGCTCGGCTAATAACCGGACCATGAGGAAGTTCATGATGCTGGAAGAGCAGCCTTTCTCTGTGGTGGAAGAAGAACCAAGTTTATTCATACAGCACGTGTCCCAGACTGAGGTCACACAAGGAGTTACAATAAAACGCTGAACACTAAAGCTAGAACATAAGACAATGAGTAGAAAACAACAGGCTCCGCCCACTGCTCAATCACCAAGTAACCCACTACAGGACATATAATAATAACAACTACAATAATAATCATTATAATAATATAATGACAACAATAAATCTCCCAAAATGCTAATTTGTAAGGTTCCTTTGCTTTGTAGTGCTTTAGCCTGCTGAGAGCTTCAAAGTTAAAGGTTGTTACTGACAGCAGCTACATCTAAGTGTTTATTCATTTTCCTTTTGACTGAATAGTTGCTGATTTGATCTTGGAGACGTTTCTCCTCACATCAGCTTCAGATCTAAAGAATGATTTGTGAGTAGGTGTTGCGCTGACCTTAGAGGTGTGGCTGCCCCTCTCTATTGTTCCTCATCCTTTCCCTACATGCTGACTCCGTTGCGCGTTGCCAGCGCGTGACCGCAGATGGAACCTGCGTGCGCTCCGGCGCGCGCCTCGCCAGGTGAGCAGAATTGAGGCAGTTAAGAGCTTGTGCTCGGGGGAAATGAAGTACAGCCAAAATGTCTGCAACAAGCTTTTGCCCAGCGCGCGGCAGACTGAGAGGAGTGCAGAGCGAACACAAATGGGTACACTGTGAGGAGGAAGACTTTGATCTTGACGGGCTGTCGGTAAGCTCTTGGATTCACGTCTTTATATGGACTCTTTATCCGTCTGGGTGTGAATGGAATTTACTGAGAGGAAGTGTGTTAACGTCTGGAGTGCCAGAAATGACTGCAGGAATAATAGTAAATTAAATGAAAGCAAGTTAAGGCAGAAAACAGATGTATTCATGTATTTAATTATTTGTCTGGTAAAATCAGTCTTTTTTCATCCTTGCTTCATTGTGAAATGATTCATCTCTGAATTAGCAGCCAGTACTTGTAAAAGCAGATAGAATAGTACTTGTCTAAAACTAGACGCCCAACTGAAGGTTACTAAAGATGCTGGTGTGTTCTCCTTGCTCTGTATTACCTGTAACAGCATTGAAGTTTATCTGCATGATTTAGTTACATGTTTATTTTTGTTATTTAAAGCTTTTCCACCTGACTGGTTCCTGAACCCGGACTGATCTCAGTACTGGTCAAATAAATTGTTCTGAGTGAAATCCAAAGTCTGCTCTTTCCAAGTGTCGGCACCTCACAGTGGAAGAAAACACTTGACAGTAGGAGGCTTAGAAGTTCTGGTCAGAACCAAACACGCTGATTGTGATGGAAGTTTTTATTGATCCTAAAGTAGAAATATGTTTTTATCTAAATGAAGTTCATGTTCTTGTTCCTTTTCCCCACATCATGTAGCCGGTATCACTCGTGGTGTAAATATAAAGGTATGGTGGTCTGTAACATCATGTGTCTGTGTTTCCTACAGATGTTCAACAGCTGGTGCTGGTTAAAGAAGAAGATCCTGAAGAACAGAGTGCTGGTGTGGACCAGCAGGACCCAGAACACCTCCACATAAAGGAGGAACAGGAGGAGCTCTGGACCAGTCTGGAGGGAGAGCATCTCTGTTTGAAGGAGGAGACTGAAGCTGTCGGGTCTCCTGTTACTGCTGTTTCTATAAAGAGTGAGGATGATGAAGAGAAACCTCTGGTCTCACAGCTTCATCAGCAGCAAATAGAAGACAGAGATGTTCCAACCAGCAGCTCAGCTGACCAGATGACCGCAGAAACTGGTGGAGGAGCAGGAACTAGCAGGAACCCAGATCTGAACCCTCATGAACAAACATCTGATTCTTCAGAGACTGAAGATAGTGGAGATGAAGATGATGATGATGTGAATCTGGACTCTGAGCTGTCAGACTCTGGGTCTGAAACTGGAGATGAAGATGATGACTGGAATGAGAGCAGGTCTTCTGAGTCAGATGGTAAGTCTGTCAACAAGTTCTTCACAAGTGGTCTCTCCAGAGACACGTGAGGGAGACGAGTCATCCAGCAGTCAGGTCTTCAGGCTGTTTGGTTCATAAGAAATGTGTTAGAGTGAAGCAACATGTAGACTCGTGCAGGAAAGTCCAGAAGAAACCTAAATCATTTAGTCATGATGACTGGAGAAAGGTTTACTACAAATGTAAACAAACAAATCACATGAGAGTCCACACATAGCAGCTGCTGTTCCAGAGTATGGGCCAGCCTCATCCCACCCATACTCTGCTTCTGGCCGCTAACAAGATGGCGCCTGTGTTTGGAATAGCCACAGTTCCGTTTCCACATTCCCGCCTGGCCACGGGGCAGCGCCGTGTCTCCGTCCATGTTTCCTCGGGTCTGTTTATCCTGGTTCTTCAGTGGTTTCCCTTCCTGTTCCCTCCATGAGTGGACTTTACACACCGTGGATCTGACCTGCTAACTCCAGCTGTTTCTGCTTCTGGCAGGATCCTGGTGTAGGTACCCAGGGAGTCCAGATGCTGCAGGATGAAGTGTAGAGCCATGCTGATGGTGTAACGTGATGGAAGTGGTTACTTTGACTGAATGATCAATAAGATGTGATATTCCATCTAATTATAAATGATCAATCTTATTGGTCTTTGAATATTTGATTTAATACGACCTTAGGAACACACACTTCATATTAATTCAGACACATTCAAGAATATAGTTTATAAAAATGAGTTTAATTCTATATTTCTAAACTAATGATTACATGACTGTTAGGGATTGTATCAATAACTCAATACCTGCAGCTGGAGAGAGAGGAGAGACAATAAGCAGACAAGTCCAGTGTTTCCCCTAGGAATTTTTCCAGCTGTGGCGGGGGGGGGGGGGGGGGGGGGGGGTTTGGATAGAGGGCTGAAGCAGAAACTACCGTTGTTAAAAGAAATGTGTTTAACTTTGAAAATGTGGGCGCAATTTTAATTGTCAAAAACTCCAGCGAACCATTAGTTCATTTTGCTCAAATAGAAATAGAGGCCTGCCTCTAATACTGGCCCTCCTTCCAATAAAGGCCTGGAGCTTGATGAGCTTGAGTCAAATACAGGCCCGGGCCTGTATTAGAGGATTTACAGTAACTTTTTAAGCGCACAGGAACAGCTAACCTGTAAAACTGATGATATTTTATATAAAATACAAACTAAATGGGATGAAAACACAAAAGTCTAAATAGTTTGAATTGAAGTAAAAAATGTAAAATCAGAAATAAGACTTGTTCTTGCTCTCCTGATGTACTGAATAATTTTTATGGGTTTTTTTTTTTTTTTTTTTTTGGTCATGAAAGTTAAGTTTTGCTGCGTTTATTGCTGACAATATGAAGGTTGGAGGTTTATCCTTTTTTCTGCATCTTGTAGGTTTTTTCTCCGCACGTCTCTAAATAAAGTAAAATTTTCTAGTGCAGAGTGGAGACAACCCATAGAAGCACTGATTTGATCTTATTTCAGAGAAAAATAGAACAGGTTAGATGCACCTAATAAATAAAATTATAACAAACTCAGGAATCTGTTTCTTTGCTTCACTGTTCTGGTGCTGAGAACATCACTAATGCGGATCAAAGGAGATACACAGATGAATGCACCTCTTATTTATTATTTGGAAACTACATTTACTGCAGCTGGCAGAGGCAGAGATTTTTTCTATTGATACACGGAATTTACAGAATCATTTTAAATGTTAATAGGGGAAGACTGCAGGAGGGAGCGGTAAAATACAGGGGGTTCCCAGCAAAAACAAACTTTACGAGCCTGATGAAACCCGCTGGTTTTCCATCAGGCAGTCACGGGGCAGCTCCAACGACCCAGTGGCTGTGCTGGGTCAATGTTATCGAGCTCAGTCGAGGCGACGTCGTGCTCTGCTTAAGAAGAGGTGTTATTTTCCCGCTTCAGAAGAAGCGTTCAACGTGTTTTTACGCTTTCTCCGAGACATGTCACGTCGCTAAGTTGTTAGCGCCGCGCGCTAACACGTCAATAGTGCAGCGTAGCCTGCTGGAGGTTTTAAGGGTTCAGATGAAAACACCCGACCTCTCAGGCTGCTCACACATCGATCTTAAGTTGTCGCTGTTGCGCTCACGCCGTAATACAGTATTAGATGCAGTTAAAGTCAGACATGAAAAAATAAATAAATTTTACATGATGTAGCGTAATGGTTGTTGGCTCTTTTATGAAAGATGAACCATTCTACATAATCATCTGGAATATAAATTTTTAACAAATTAATAACCAAAGGTTATAAAGATAAGAAGACTCAAAGGTTGTTTTCATCGATAAACTGACGATCATATCCGTTTGTCTGTGTTTCAGTTCGATGAAAAGGCAAGTTTAAATTTTAAGAGATTTATTTCTTCAATTTAAACTAACGATTTGAAATGACAATCATAGGAAAAACAATCAACATGGGCAACCTTGTTGGACAATCTTTAACAGTTGATATTTTAAGCTTGCTCAAACAGACCTTGTGTTGGTTGGGCTAAATTTGAGGATGATGGAATTATGAATGTGTGCAGGCAGGTGTCTGAGATTGCTTCAGGGAGAGAGAAGGTGAACTGAGTGAAAAATGATGTTTTGCAATTAAACTTTAGTTCTTATTAGAAAAACAGCATCAGAACGCTATCTATCGTGTTCTGCCTCACCGAACTTAGGACCCCCTTTTAGATCCGGACCTCGGAGGATGTGTTATCCAGATGACACCTTGGCTGGCAGAGAAGACAAAGGTATGCGATGGTCCAGTCCCGGGTTGACCTCGGTACACATTGCTGAAGCGTTTCGGCAGATGCGCTTTCTCATGTTTAAATTAACTCAGAAATCAAAAGACTCTGGGACGAGTCTGTGTTAGCTGGTTGCATTTTAGCTATTCTTTCTGGCTTGACATAAATAGCGTGGGGGGAGAAAAGAAGCCGGCAGGGCTTCTTTCCCCGTGGCGTTCGTTCCGCACTTCCGTTCTCACTCTCGTTCTGACTCATTACCAAAACCACTTCTCTTCCCAAAGCAAACTTGTTGTGCGTCAGAGCAAATGTGTTTTGAGTTACTGTGGAGTCGGACCTGTATGAGCAGGTGTGAAGGTCACTGCTAAACATCTTCAAAAACATTATTTAATTAAGTATTGATTCATTATAGTTCATTATGATTACCCAAAGCATAATAATCATTCATTTGATTAAAATACATTTATAATGAGCAAAGTGATCAAATGATTATTTAACAAAAATAAAGAAAGCTTAAGACTGTTTTATTATGACTAGACTGTGTGTGAAGTCCTTCTTCTGGAGAGCAGGTGTTCGGATGTTGTGGATTCCTTCAGACTTGCTGGTGGCTTAGGTCTTAATCTGTGGGTGAAGGTGCTGCTTGACCCAGCTTTGACCCAGCCGGGCAAATACGATTTTTGGCACAGAAACCCATACTTCCTCACGTTACAATGAATAAGTGATGATTAGCCTGGTTGGGGGAGGAAACCCTGTCAAGATCATCAACGCTCATTTATCTTAATGCTATTGAAACATGTAAACCAAAAAGCATTATATCCACTGCTACCTTTATGCTGAAACTTCACCCTGCCCTGCCTGCTCCTCCTTGCTACCTGCCGGCTGTGATCACAAGCGACAACATAGTAGTTCCCGCTGCTTCCTCGTGAAACAGCTAAAAAAAAAAAATAAATAAAACTTGGGATCTTGTAGGCGTGGCGGTGGGATTTCAGCCGTGGTGGGCCGCCATGGCTACGCCTATGTAAGGAAAACCCTGACAACTGTTTATGAAATAGCGTTACCTTAATTATTGACATATTTTCCTAGTTTACATTATGTTGTTTGAAACCAAGGGTCTCATTATCTAAACTTTTTTAACTTGTTGGATCTTGAATCTGTTTAAAAACTTTGCTCTATATCAGGGTTTTTCCTGGCTCAGACTGAGGCAGAGGTGGTACCATCCTGACCGTGCGCCAGCACATGCGTACTCTGTGCATTCAACTGCCTCACTTTTTTAAAGGCCAAATATGTTTTCGTTAAGTGTTCCAATCTAAGCTTCTGGCGATTAATAGAATATTCCATTTAGAGCTGAAACAACTAATCGATTTAATCGATTATAATCGATTATTAAAATAGTTAACAACTTTTTTAGTCATCAATTAGTTGTTTAATAATCATATTTTACCGCATAAAGTCTATTTTTTACCACAATCTGACATCGGTTACAATCTGTTAAATTTGCCGCCAGTGTGTGGCAGTAATGAGCCACTGATCTACCAGTGGAGTAGAGAAGAAATGAGCCAATAAGTGCCCTCGGTTTTCATGACATATCACGTTACTGACGCTCATCTTGCTGTGAGAGATGGCGGAACAAGAAGAAATACGGAAGAAAAATAGAAGCGACAAAACAATAGAAACCCCGGACAAAACCCTCACGAGTATGGGAGCACTTCACTCTAGATGCCTTGAAAAGACGCGTGACCTGCAAAATATGCAAAAACCATCTAGCATGGCACGGAATGTTGGTCTTTCCTTCTGTGAGACCATCACAGGTATGGAGTAAATGGAGAAAAAAAACACCTTTCGTTGGTAGAGAGTGAAGACAAATAATCAGAAGAATCAATCTTTGTTCGCCGCTGCAGAGGGAGAAACACACAGCCTCAGCTGGACCCGCGCCCAACTCTTCTCTCGCTGCATCAAGTGTTTCTGAAGCTCTCTGCTCATACAGCTGTTTTTAAGGAATAATGGAATGTAACACACGCAGTTTGCCATTTGCACACGTCATTGGTCATGACAGGTAAAAACTAATTGCCTTGTTAGTGAAGAACTAATACATCACAAGAACACGTATCCTTGAGATAAGCAGGAACATCCTTGATAATAAAGACATATGCTGGTACGAGAGGAGCTGGGATGTTTCACTCCTTTTTTGTGCAGGAGAGAATATGCAGCTGTTCATCTTGTGCAGAAAAACACTGAGAGGCACTT